CAGCGCACGCAGAGAAAAAAATGCTTTGTTATCCCTCAGCAAGGTAGATGTGTTATTTTGAAATAAGGTATTTCGAAATAACTATTTTGATATTCACACCTCCAGATCAGCTGCTAGAAGTGGGCTTCATCCTCCTTGATTGGATCCACCTCGTCATCTCCAGCCTGATCCTGGCCTGCATATTTATTCCTGCCTCTGGAAATTTCCACTACATGCATCTGACGAAGTGGGTCTTTGCCCACGAAAGCTTATGCTCCTACACTTCAGTCAGTCTATAAGGTGCCACAGGACTCCTCGTTGCTTTATTTTGATATCAGATATTTAGAAATAACACTGTAGTGTAGACATACCTTAAAATCTAAAGGTTTATTACGAAAAGGTTGAGAGTAAGATTAAGGAGAATACATTACATACATCAGTCACCAAGTTCTTGATGCAGGCTCTTAGCAGAGATGTTACAAACTGCTAGCTTAGAAGTCTGGTGTACATCCTATATTAGGATGGGTCAGCAGTCTTTCCTGGCTCTTTGACCCTAGCAAGGATGCATCTGGAATCAGGAGCAAGATTAAAGACAAGATGGAGACGCCCTCATGGGATTTTTATATTGCTGGTGTCTCCCAAATTGGAGCTAGTCACATGATCTAGTGACCTGTCTGTTTCACAAGCAAGTAGCCATGAGGCATTGGCTGGGTTGCAGACTTCCAGACGTATTCCTCAGGTGTGCATTGCCATCTCAGAGAGCCGTTGTCCATGAAGCAGTGCTGGTTAGCACAGCCATTTGCTGAATAATCCTTCCACACAATAGGCAGTCCAGGCCTATTGCTCTCTTCCAGAAAGAGAATATTTACAGTACAAGAACAGAACCTATATTCATAACTCCACTTACAAAGATCATGTAAGTACATGAGTATCATGCATAGAATCAGCAGAGCATAAGCTTTCATTTGATACCTCACATGGCCGACTTTGTACAGAATTTGGAGCAAACACCACCCACGGGTGCAACAATGATCTGTCTGCTCACTTTAAAATCCAGTAATGTGACACCTTGTCTGAGGCCTGTAAGATCTGCAAAGCATTCAAGCCATGCACCAACCGAGAATGGTAGTTTCATTTGAAGGTTATCCTAATGGAGGCGGCTTTACGCCCGGCACCAGTGTCCGATCTGGCACCGGCAATCCAGAGCATGCTGGCTTTGGGAGGCACCCAGCCACCCGTGCACCTCCCCAGCACTATGCAGGCCTCTGTGCTGGTTGCAGTTCCTGGTGCCCCAGAAGAAGAGACCTAGGAGCGACGAGCAGGGCAGCTAGACCATCACGATCAGGTCGGCACCACTCTAGTCTGTGCCAAGACACCAGCCCGGCGGTGGTCTTCCTGAAGTCCTCTTATTTTCATGTGTCTCAAGATATGTTTCTCCTAGTTTTTTTACTCCAAACCCCATGCTTCAGGTAAGGAACAGGCATTGCACACTTTAGATGAGTGCTACTCAACTTGCGGACTGCGGTGCAGTTTGGATTTACGTGAGGCTCAACACATTGCCCATAGGTGGGAGCCAAAGCAAAAAAGTAGTCAATATAATGGTCTTCTGTTGATATGAGTTTTAGTAATTAAATTCTTGGACTGTCATTACTCATTGAAAGTGCTGTCATATGGATGGAAATTAGGTAAATATTGCATTTTATTAATATCAGCAGAACTGACTTAAATGGGGCCTGTGTGTTGTCTTGCCTTAATCTTTGTATTTATGCCTGTTAATGTGAAATACACTATTTGCATATATTTTCAATATATTTTCGTGCATATGCAACCACATTTAAGTTGTGGCCCTCAGCATGTGCTGTGAGTATCATTGTGGCCCCCAGGGCTTCCAATGTTGAGTAGCCCTGCTTTGTATGTTAGAAGAGCTCTGGCCTATTATTTGGAAAGAATAAAGCCCTTCCATAAGTCCCCACAGCTCCTTGTAGCAATTGCAGAGGGGCTGAAGGGGCAGCCCGTCTCTGTGCAGAGGATCTCGTTGTGGATTACATCCTGTGTCAAGGAGTGTTATGGCCTAGCCAAGGTGCCAGTTCCTCCCTTCACGGTCCTTTCCACTAGGGCCCAGATGTCCTGTCTTGGACATCTGTAGGGCTGCCACATGGTCTTCAGTCCCCACTTTTGACAAGCATTATGCGTTGACCCATCAGGCAAGGGAGCATGCAGCCCTGGGTAGGGCTATCCTCCACTCAGTTGAAGGTTAGAACTCCAACCCTACCTCCTACGGTTTCTGCTTTGGAGTCCTCTACATGGAATGGACATGAGCAATCTCTCGAATTAAAAATAGTTACTTACCTTTGTAACTGTTGTTCTTTAAGACGTGTTGCTCACATCCATTCCAAATCCCGCCTGCCTCCCCTTCTTCAGAGTAGTCGGATAAGAAGGAACCCAGCAGGAGTATATATTAGCTGATATATTGGCACCACTTGGAAGGGGCTCCCCTGCTGGCCCAACAGATACTGCCAAGGGGAAAAACTGATGATGCGCGCACACAGCACAAACACACCTATGTGGAATGGATATGAGCAACACATCTCGAAGAACAACAGTTATGAAGGTAAGTAACCATTTTTTCCTGTACCTTCACAACTAGTTAATTGAGGAACATTTCTACAAAGTGGTGCTGTCTTCCACATAGACAGCCTCTGTTCTGTTCTGTTCTAGGAGCTGGATCTTTAGTTGAAGATACAAAAATCTGTTAACCTTCTGTTAAACCTCACAGTTTATAGCGGTGTCTTTGGCCTCATTCATGACTAGGGGCTATGTTACCTTAGAAAGATTGTCAGGTTTTGTACGGGCAATTCAGGAGAGCCTTGGGACTGCAATTAGGAACAGTATTCAGTTCTGGAGACCTATGACAGCTTGCACTTTTGCAGCTGATTGCACAAGGCTATGTATGCCTCCTCTGCAGCCATGATTGGTTCAGAATGATCTGTTCTTTGAGTGATGATCCCTATGTGTATACCATACATGGGTGCACATATGCTGAATCAAAGAGTTTTCTCCAAGCAACAAATGTTGGACTGTATATGCTCGGTATGTCTCCTTGTGCTTTGTCAAGGGTGTAAAAAATGCTACTCCAGTTCCCTGTTTCTGACTGAAGGTTTGAGTCAAAACCCCTCTTCTTCTTTCACTCTTATTTCTGAGAGATGCTGTATACTTAGTTAATAGTTATAAAATGATTGCGACTAATTTAGCTATTACTACTCAAGAGAGAGATCTTTGAGTAATTGTGGATAGTTTTCAATGTGCAGAGGCAGTCAAAAAAAGCAAACAATGTTAGGAATCATTAAAAAAGGGATAGAGAATAGGATGGAGAATATCTTATTGCCTCTAAATAAATCCATGGTACGCCCACATTTTTAATACTGCGTACAGGTGTGGTCACCTCATCTCAAAGATATTTTGGCATTGGAAAAGGTTCAGAAAAGGGCAACAAAAATGATTAGGGGTTTGGAATGGGTCCCATATGAAGAGAGATTAAAAAGACTGGGACTTTTCAGTTTAGGAAAGAGGAGAGTAAGCGGTGATATGATAGAGATCTATAAAATCATGATAGATATAGAGAAAGTGAATAAGGGAAAGATATGTACGTGTTCCCATAACTGAAGAATTAGGGTTCACTAAATGAAATTAATAGGTAACAGGTTTAAAACAAACAAAAGGAAGTTTTTCTTCACACTTCAATCTTTGGTGCACCTTGCTGGAGGATGTTGTGAAGTCCAGGACTTTAACGGGATTCAGAGAACTAGATAAATTCATGAAGGTTAGGTCCATCAATACTTGTTAGCCAGAATGGGTAGGAATGGTGTCCCTAGTCTCTGTCGGGTTGGAAATGGATGACAAGAAAGGGATCACTTGATCATGACCTGATTCTGTTCACTTCCTCTCGGGCATCTGGCATTGGCCGCTGTTAGAATACTGGGCTAGATCGACCTTTGGTCTGATCCACTATGGCCATTCTTATGTTTAGGCTCTGCCTAGCTGAGGTTATGTCCCACTGCCTCCACTGCAGTACTCAGAAACATGCAGATCCCAGTATCATCCTGCTTATAAAAACACATTCTGTCTCTGAGCTGTGCCAGGTTGGTAAGATGTTGCTTTTGGATCCAGTGGACTCAGCGCCAAAGGCCCCTGGCTGAAGGGTAAAGCAAAGACGCTTCAGGATCCATCCCTACCACCTGATTACCTTTGTTCCGGGGACATGAACAGCATCCCTCTACAATTGCTGCTCTGGATGCCCCATTGCTACCAACTTACCAATATGCAGACCAGCTAGCTCTGGCTACTTGGGCACCCCACAGACTCCAGGACATACAGAGACATTCCTAACATCGGAGGATGTGTTCTTGCTATACCTGCAGTCTCCTCTCCTCTTGGGCCTGTCTGTTCTCTAGGACATCCCCACACCTGAGGATGAACAACTTCTCCTGTTGCGGAGAGGACTTTTTTTTTTCATCAGATTGGAGCTCACCATTTCTGACAGAACTGTCTTCTGACTCAGGACATTGTCTTTCCAACATCTCTGCAGCTGCACAGGGGCCTGGAGAGACAGATGAGGCACCCTTATCGACCTATTGTCTGTAATGTTAGAAATTCCAAAGATGTTTTTGTTCTGGCAGCATGAGAACTCCAACATATGTCCTCCTTGATCATTGTTTAGTTTTTCTTGCCCATTGTAGATAATTGTGTAAGAATGTAGTCCTTCCTAAAGAAGTTATAAAATTTGATTTTTAACATTTCAGTTATATAAATCATTCCATCAGGCTTTAGTAATACCAACTGGATTGAATTTATGATGATAAATAAGAGATTCCAATTTTTCTTGTTAAGATTAAGTCATATGCATGACAGCTAATGTGGGTGTAAGACACTGCTAGAATGTATTGGGGGTGGGAAGAGAATGAGGGAAGTGTAATAGAGACTTCTTTCACTGTTATTAAAATGTGTTGCTTTCCTCCCACCAGTGCTACTTGGCCAGATGGTGTTCGCCGCCTTGCAAAATCATATTTGAAAGATCCTATGATTGTATATGTGGGCACTCTTGATTTAGCGGTAAGTTTGTTTTTCGTAAAATAACTCAGTGGCGTTATTCCTTGTAGTTTCAGGTATTGTAATATGAGAACATTTTATTCAGATTTTGTTTTTACTCAGAGTAATTTTTTTATATTTCAAAGGCAGTAAATACAGTAGAGCAGAAGGTTGTTATTATCCCAGAAGAAGAAAAGAGAGCTTTCATGCGCTACTTCATCGATACTATGAAGCCTAAAGATAAAGTCCTCATATTTGTCGGAAAGAAACTTACGTATGTAATTTTTTACCAATATTACATTTGTCTGGTTAACTACTAGCTTGTTTTTTTAGAAATTAATTGGTTATTTTCAGATCATAATTATGACACTTATTTATTTTCAACCACAGTGTAGTGTTAACATTGACTTACTATATATCCCCAGCACTATACATGGCCGTTACATTTTACACAAGTTCTCTAGTACTGTCAAACTATTAAAATGCATTGGAATGTGTTTGCCCTACTTTAAACTTAAGCAGGCTTTAAGACTTTCTATACTAAAAAATGTTAGTTAAATTAGATGCATTGAAGTTATTGAAATGAAACATTTTGATTGACCTGAATATTGATTGATTGGGCTATCAGCTCATGAAAATGTGAGTGGCATTTTTTTTGTCCCGTTTTGAATGGGAAAAAGACTTGGCTGGTGCCTTAATGTGAGGGAATCAGAGTGGCTCTGGGAGCATTCATGGCATCTAGCAGCTGTGTGTGGTGTTCCATATGCAGTTATGAGGAGTGGTAACATGACCAGGAGAGATTTGCTGCTTGTCACTAGAAAAGTTTTGTGACAGCCCAGACTGATGAGTTGAGAACAGCAGTCCCTCAGTTCCAGGCTGTGCCCTGGGGATCCTATCATATTGGTGATCATCAGGAGGAATATTCAGTTCCTCATGCATCTATGGTAATTTGACAGATGAATTTGTTCTGTCTGATTATAATGATTTTGAGGCCTTTCTAGATCTCTTGAAACTAGTGACAGACACCTTTTAGAGATCCCTTTAGCAATTGTCCAAGAAAAATCATGGAAACTGACTGTGACTGGTAGCAGACAAGTGATGCCTCTTAATGAGGGAATCTTTAAGATGGATAATGATGTGTGAGAGACACTGGCACCTCTCTGTCACTCCTAAAAAAGCTGACTGCTATTAATAAGTCCCTCCAGTGGAACTTCAGTATAACTGTTTTTTTCACTTATCCCATTCCAGGATCTCTATTAGTGACTGCAATACAGGCAGTCCCTGGGTTACGTACAAGATAGGGACTGTAGGTTTGTTCTTAAGTTGAATCTGTATGTAAGTTGGAACTGGTGTCCAGATTCAGCCGCTGCTGAAACTGACCGCCAGTTCTGACTTACATACAGATTCAACTTAAGAACCCCAAG